CGATATATGATGACATATCGCATCATAGTTCAAACGGCAGGGAATACTTCGATCAATTTTCTACACAGCAGGCGCCATCTTTGTATAATACTCCAAAAATACATAATTTTGCCAAGCAAACCAAACAAAAGTATCCATGAGAGTTTTTGAGTACTTTTAATGTACAGGTATGGAAAATTTATATTTTGATATAATATTATGTAGTTCCAACTTTTTCTGAAATGAGTACTCTCTTTGGAAAATCGGGTTTTTTTTTGCCGATTAGACCAGTCTACAGACTAAACCTTTGACTAATCTAAAGACTAGATCTTTGACTATAGTATAGACTAAACCTTTTACTAGTCTAGAGACTAGACCTTTGACTAGTCTATAGACTAGACCTTTTACTAGTCTATAAACTAGACCTTTGACTAGCCTAGAGGCTTGACCTTTGGCTAGCCTATAGACTAGACTATAGACTAAACCTTTGAGTAGACTATAGACTAGATTTTTGACTAGTCTATACACTAGATCTTTGACTAGTTTATAAACTAGACCGGCTATACCTTTGACTAGTCTATAGATTAGACCTTTGACTAGTTTACAGACTATACCTTTGACTAGACTATATACTTGACCTTTGACTAGACTATAGACTAGACCTTTGACTAGTCTATACACCAAATCTTTGACTAGTTTATAAACTAGACCGGCTATACCTTTGACTAGACTATAGACTAGACTTTGACTAGTCTATACACTAGATCTTTGATTAGTTTATAAACTAGACTGGCTATACCTTTGACTAGTCTTTGATTAGTCTATAGACTAGACTAGTTTATAGATTATACCTTTCACTAGTCTATACACTAGACCTTGGATTAGTCTACAGACTAGACCTTGGATTAGTCTTCAGACTAGACCTTGGATTAGTCTTCAGACTAGACCTTGGATTAGTCTTCAGACTAGACCTTGGATTAGTCCTCAGACTAGACCTTGGATTAGTCCTCAGACTAGACCTTGGATTAGTCTTCAGAATAGACCTTATACATGACCTTTGACTAGTCTATAGACTAGACCTTTGACTAGTCTATAGACTAGACCTTTCACTAGTCTATAGACTAGACGTTTGACTAGTCTATAGACTAGACCTTTCACTAGTCTATAGACTAGACCTTTCACTAGTCTATAGACTAGACCTTTGACTAGTCTATAGACTAGACCTTTCACTAGTCTATAGACTAGACCTTTCACTAGTCTATAGACTAGACCTTTGACTAGTCTATAGACTAGACCTTTGACTAGTCTATAGACTAGACCTTTGACTAGTCTATAGACTAGACCTTTGACTAGTCTATAGACTAGACCTTTGACTAGTCTATAGACTAGACCTTTGACTAGTCTATAGACTAGACCTTTGACTAGTCTATAGACTAGACCTTTGACTAGTCTATAGACTAGACCTTTGACTAGTCTATAGACTAGACCTTTGACTAGTCTATAGACTAGACCTTTGACTAGTCTATAGACTAGAACTTTGACTAGTCTATAGACTAGAACTTTGACTAGTCTATACACTAGAACTTTGACTAGTCTATACACTAGAACTTTGACTATACTAGACCTTTGACTAGACTAGACTTTTTTCTTGTCTATAGATTCGACCTTTGACTAGTCCATAGACTAGACCTTTGACAAGTCTATAGACCTTTGACTGTCTATAGATTCGATCTTTGACTAGTCTATAGAATAGCCCTTTGACTAGTCTGTAGAATAGATCTTTGACCAGTCTATAGACTAGACCTTTGACGAGTTTATAGAGTTTATATTATTATGTGGACTAGTCCACTGACCAGTTTATTAATTGGTGCAAAAGGTTTTAGTAGGAAAAGGTTCTTAATATATCGTGTGACAACTGCAGTATATTTCGCTGTCAAAAAGTACACTAAAATAGAATTTTCCATCCCTGACTGTACAATTCGTAACAAGTTTTAAGGAAGGATGAAACACAATATAACATCGATGCGATGAATGGCAGATGAATGAATGTTTGAGGTTTCCAATAATAAAATGAACTTAAGTGTAATGGTTATTTAGTACTTTGATGTTTTTAATGAAAAGTACTTTTTAGGAGATATTACCAGAGGAATGACGTTTAGATCAACGTTTGGGAAGGGAAATTCTCGTCGACAATTGATCAATAATATATTTCAGATTATCAGATTGCAATATTATACACAACTTTTTAGGACATACGGCTACAGTTATAAACTTCTACCGTCTGTGTTATCGCTATAGTAATACCACAGATCCACTTTATATAAACTCTTAGTATCGGTGCCTACCCACAGTGAACCAATCATGTCACTAGTTCTATAACATTTAATTCTCCTTCAATTCGTAGTACTTTTGGTTTAACAAAAATATCCCTAACCACGTTGTTTCTGTGCTTAGTACTTTTTTTACAAAATTCCCCTTCTGTACCTTCAGGTTTTATCTCTCTGACAAATATTAAATTCTCTTGTATCCTTTGATATGGTTAAACCACAGAAAGCGCCAACCGAGTGGGAGGAGATGAACGAAGATGTGATAATAAAAAAGAAAAACCCAAAAACCAATAAACGTGACAAAGTACTCACTGTTAGAAATATGTATGAAAATAAACGAAAAAAAACAAATATTCAACACAGTAGACAATGTTTTACTATATGAAGGTAATTTTTCATAAAAAGAACAAATATTGTTGATTGTTTTTTCTCTGCTGTTTTTACAAGTGATAATTTTTAATTTTCTTCCTGCCAGTTGTAAAAGCAAAAGGATGTTTATTTTTAAAAAGGTCCTTAATAATCGATGGAATACATTTAGCAGTAAAGAACTTTTTATTTCAAATTAAAAATTTAATAGAAAAAATACATAAATCTTACTTTATATAAAATAGTTGTAGAACTAATAAAATTTTAAAAATTTACATTGTTTTTTTTCACAAATAAATTTATGTATTATTTTAAAACCGCAATTAAAAATGATATTTGTGGTTTTTGTTTCTTTTTTTTTTTGCAGTTAATATTGTTTTAATTGCAAATGTGGTCATTATTGATGTGTGTTTATTTGAATTGTATCTAGATAATTGAAAATTGTGGTTGAAAATCATGTAAAAATTGTTTATGACAGTTAAATTAATTATAAATTTATAAAAATCGAAAGAACTACAGGAAAAATTTAGTTAGCTAGCTAGCAAGCTTGTTAGTTAGTTAGTCAGTTAGTTAGTTAGTTAGTTAGTTAGTTAGTTAGTTAGTTAGTTAGTTAGTTAGTTAGTTAGTTAGTTAGTTAGTTAGTTAGTTAGTTAGTTAGTAGTTAGTTAGTTAGTTAGTTAGTTAGTTAGTTAGTTAGTTAGTTAGTTATTAGTTAGTTAGTTAGTTAGTTAGTTAGTTAGTTAGTTAGTTAGTAGTTAGTTAGTTAGTTAGTAGTAGTTAGTTAGTTAGTTAGTAGTAGTTAGTTAGTTAGTTAGTTAGTTAGTTAGTTAGTTAGTTAGTTAGTAGTTAGTTAGTTAGTTAGTTAGTTAGTTAGTTAGTTAGTTAGTTAGTTAGTAGTTAGTTAGTTAGTTAGTTAGTAGTTAGTTAGTTAGTAGTTAGTTAGTTAGTTAGTTAGTTAGTTAGTTAGTAGTTAGTTAGTTAGTAGTTAGTTAGTTAGTAGTTAGTTAGTTAGTTAGTAGTTAGTTAGTTAGTTAGTTAGTAGTAGTAGTTAGTTAGTTAGTTAGTTAGTTAGTTAGTTAGTTAGTTAGTTAGTTAGTAGTTAGTTAGTTAGTTAGTTAGTTAGTTAGTTAGTTAGTTAGTTAGTTAGTAGTTAGTTAGTTAGTTAGTAGTTAGTTAGTTAGTAGTTAGTTAGTTAGTTAGTAGTTAGTTAGTTAGTTAGTTAGTTAAGTTAGTTAGTTAGTTAGTTAGTTAGTTAGTTAGTTAGTTAGTAGTTAGTTAGTTTAGTTAGTTATTAGTAGTTAGTAGTTAGTAGTTAGTTGTAGTTGTTAGTTAGTATGTAGTTAGTTAGTTAGTTAGTTAGTTAGTAGTTAGTTAGTTTGTTAGTTAGTTAGTTTAGTTTAGTAGTAGTTAGTTAGTTAGTTAGTAGTTAGTTAGTTAGTTAGTTAGTTAGTAGTTAGTTCGAGTTAGCTTGTAGCTTGTTCATTCATAACTTTTAAAACCATTACATACTCTTAGGAGCAACTTAAATTATATAACGGATTTTGTGGTGGGTTTATTTTGAATATTGTTAATATTTATTACTTAAAACTACTCTTTCCTTCAAATGCTTTCATAAAGACTACGATTTTATTTTTTATGAAATAAAGTTTTTAAAAAAGCTGAGTTAAAAATTTGAAAAAATCAACTTCTATAGATGTTTAAACTTAGGCAAATCATGTTAAATCTTGTTTTTCTCTGCTGGCAATAACAACATGTTAAAGTCAACATTGCCAATATGTTGGTGTTATGTCTAAAATAACTAAAAAACGTTATTGTGTTAACATTTTAACAAAAAAAAAATGCAGATGTTAAATAATAAATATGTAGATTATCGTGATTATTTTATCATGACTATTTATCGTCATTATTTTATACAAATTGTAAAATTTTAAATATAGTATTTAAATTAACAGTTAAAGTTACCACTTCATTTAAATTCTTAACTTGGCAGCACTTTTATTTATTTGCCTGAAAGAAACATATGGCCACCTTATGTGAGTTCACCCACAACAACTCTTCAAGGAGTACAGATATTTAACGTTTTTAAGCTTTAATCCAAAACAAAATCATCAACAATAGAAAAAGTAGTTAAAAAACTATTTATAAACAATTATTAAATGTTAACTCTTAAAATGTAGTCAAGTTTTTTTGCATTAAACAAAAACACATATAAAATCGCTCATATTTGCTGAAAAAATCGCTTTAATTCAAACATTGTTTTTATGTGTGCCGTTGTGTATATCAGCTGTTATACCAAACTTTGGCGAAAGAAAAAACTAAAGCAGAAACACAATTAGAAGAAAATCTCTTCTACTCAGTAATTTTTTTTTCGCAAATCAATTAAAATCGTATTTTAAGTGAAAATATAATTAAAAATAAAACTTTAAAACAAAATTCAATATACAATCTTCAAAATAACTAAAAAATTCAAAAGAAATAACAGAATAAAAAAGGTAAAATATTGATGAGATGAAAATTTTTGCATAAACAATTTCGTTTTTTAATGAAAACAAAGAAGAACAAGCAACAAACGTAAAAGCCACAAAAATTGTATAGTAAACTAGAAGACGAACAAGTAACAAAAAAACCTACCAATGAGAAAAAATCGTATCGTATGTGTAGTAGTGTAAAAAATAGTAAACTAGAGTAAAAGAATGGAATAGTAATTGAAAGAGTGAGTGAAAAGAACAAAAAAATTACGATATTTTAAATGTAATCGCAGAAAGCTATGAATGAATATTTGTGTTGAAAATAATTTTTGTTTTAAAATTTCGAAATTTCTTCCAAAGAGTTTCTTTGGACCAGCAATTGTGATACATATATTTTCGAGAAAAAAAAAGGAAACCGGTTCCGGCTTTCTTCTAAAAGGACGTACTAAAATTGTGGTAAGATGGTCTTAAAATAAATTAAACTAATTGGTGTTGCCAGATATTTGTTAATGTGCTGAAGCCCAATTTATATTTGAAAATGTCTAAAATTAACAAATTTTATGTAATTAGTTTAAAAGAAGGATGTATGTGGACCTAGGCCTCCATTGGGTCTGGTGTCAAGGTACGGGCCACAATTTTAAAGATATTTTGATGAGATTTGAACCATACATGTTTTTCAACACAAGGACAAAGCATATTGGTTTAAAATTGGTCCAATATTTTACATATTCCCCATACAACTGGACTTTCTGATTTATAAATTTTAGCTCATTACAATGACATCTCTTCAGAAATATACAAAACTACGTTTTATATAAGCATAATTAACACTGTACAAAATCTGAAAAGGCCTTAAATGCGACGAAATTAAAATCTAAATAAATTCCCCCGAGATTTTGGTAGTATCGACCAAATATAAATGCTCTTTCAGAAAATTAGTTTTTCAATTCTGAGATTGGTATCTTTATAAAAATGTGGGAACTTTTATGTGAATTTCATAAATTTATGTGAATTATATAGTGGGATTACGTAATTTTATGCATTTGATAGCCAAATTATGGACCCACTTTAATTTTGTTTCGAAATTTTACTTGAAATACGGGATAGCTCCCATGTTCTACGAAAAATCTAATCAGAATACAACGCCTTTTTTTATTAAATTTCCAATAAGAATTATTAAAAATGACTATTCCCAAGAAATTTTTTACTAAATATACGATAATTTCAAACACGTTTCAAGCTCGCGATCACAACTTGAGTTGTCAATAATTCGATATTTTTGATCTCTGTAAGGAAAATTGTATATTTTATAGAATCTTCAACTCTACTACTTCTATATTATACTTGTTCTAGAATGTATGATTATATCGAATCAGAAAGTCCTTGTGAAATATAAATTTTGAGTATTACAAACACTAGCACATACGCTTTAACATTTTCTGTTATGTAGAGTATACAAATACAACATAAACCAACCCAGTTTTTGGTGTAACGATTCCGAAAATGATAAAATCAAAGTCGTATGTTTCATCCACATTTTTTCGGTATTTTTCAGCCGTAGTGGTAGCATACTTGATCCTTTGTTAATTAATTCGGAATATTACTTGTACTATGGAATAGAAAAATACTTTAACAAAAAACTATAGCGATACGACTACCTGATAGGTTTACATCTTAATAAGATAAGATATAAGATATAAACCCAGGATGCTTTCAGGATGACGTAAACCTTTTCTACTATTTAAAAATTCTAAATTTTTCTGATGAAATGTACCATTTCCTCAAAAAATCGAAAAAATCAAGAATTTTACCAATTATAACAGTGAATGTGATTAAGTGATTTTCGGGCTTTATGACCAATTTGGACTGATCCGGAAATCATTCTGCAATGATTTGCATTTGTATATAGAAAGCATAATAGTATTATTGTCGAATTTTGTCCCGATATAATTATTAGTTCATGAATTATTTCAGATTAAAAGATCTTCGGAAGTGGACTGCATATAAGAGCTACTTCGAATTGTAAGCCAATACGGGAAAAAATTCATGGAATGATTTGTTTATGTACAAAACATATTCGAGACGAATTTTATCCCGATACAATTATTAGTTCATGAGTTATTTGCGGTTAAATGATTTTCGGAAGTGGACTTTATAGGGGAGCTATAACCAATTATTAGCCGATCCGGAAAGGTGAATAATTTGTATATGTAGAAGACATATTTGTGTTGTATCCCAATATCGTTATTTCTCAATTAAATATGTATATATGGTTAAGAGATTTTCGTAATTTTTTCATCAATAGCTATTATTATTTATGGACCGATTTTACTGAATTTAAATAGTAAAGTTTCTCGAAAGCATTTTTGATTGATTTGTTGAAAATCTTGATCCTGAAAATGTGTAGGGACTACAGAAAATGTAATTCAACAATAGACTGATGAGCTATTTAATTAGTAAAGTCTGTAGTCGACTTGGCTATCTAAATGTGTACGGTTTACAGAAAATGTTATTCAACAATAGACTAATGAGCTATGTCCATCTGTCTGTAGTCGACATGGCTATGTGTAAGGATATATGTATATATTTAATAGGATCAGAAAATTATATTGTAGAAATTACAGCAATTATATTATATGTAGACTATTCTATAGTCTAGAATATGCTCTAATATATGTTCTAGTCTATAGTCTAGTTTATAGTCTAGTCTATAGTTTGTTTAGTCTATAGTCAAGTCTATAGTATACTCTATAGTATACTAAATAATCTATAGTCTAGTTTTTAGTCTAGTCTATAGTCTAGTCTATAGTCTAGTCTATAGTCTAGTCTATAGTCTAGTCTATAGTCTAGTCTATAGTCTAGTCTATAGTCTAGTCTATAGTCTAGTCTATAGTCTAGTCTATAGTCTAGTCTATAGTCTAGTCTATAGTCTAGTCTATAGTCTAGTCTATAGTCTAGTCTATAGTCTAGTCTATAGTCTAGTCTATAGTCTAGTCTATAGTCTAGTCTATAGTCTAGTCTATAGTCTAGTCTATAGTCTAGTCTATAGTCTAGTCTATAGTCTAGTCTATAGTCTAGTCTATAGTCTAGTCTATAGTCTGGTCTATATAGTCTAGTCTATAGTCTAGTCTATAGTCTAGTCTATAGTCTAGTCTATAGTCTAGTCTATAGTCTAGTCTAGTCTAGTCTATAGTCTAGTCTATAGTCTAGTCTATAGTCTAGTCTTAGTCTAGTCTATAGTCTAGTCTATAGTCTAGTCTATAGTCTATTCTATATAGTCTAGTCTATAGTCTAGTCATAGTCTAGTCTATAGTCTGTCTATAGTCTAGTCTATAGTCTGTCTAGTCTAGTCTATAGTCTAGTCTTAGTCTAGTCTATTAGTCGAGTCTATAGTCTAGTCTATAGTCTAGTCTATAGTCTAGTCTATAGTCTAGTCTATAGTCTAGTCTATAGTCTAGTCTATAGTCTAGTCTCTAGTCTAGTCTATAGTCTAGTCTATCGTCTAGTCTATAGTCTAGTCTATAGTCTAGTCTATAGTCTAGTCTATCTAGTCTAGTCTAGCTATAGTCTAGTCTATAGTCTAGTCTATAGTCTAGTCTATAGTCTAGTCTATAGTCTAGTCTATAGTCTAGTCTATAGTCTAGTCTATAGTCTAGTCTATAGTCTAGTCTATAGTCTAGTCTAGTAGTCTAGTCTATAGTCTAGTCTATAGTCTAGTCTATAGTCTAGTCTATAGTCTAGTCTATAGTCTAGTCTATAAGTCTAGTCTATAGTCTAGTCTATGTCTAGTCTATAGTCTAGGTCTATAGTCTAGTCTATGTCTAGTCTATAGTCTAGTCTATAGTCTAGTCTATAGTCTAGTCCTATAGTCTAGTCTATAGTCTAGTCTATAGTCTAGTCTATAGTCTAGTCATAGTCTATAGTCTAGTCTATAGTCTAGTCTATGTCTCTAGTCTATAGTCTAGTCTAGTCTATAGTCTAGTCATAGTCTATAGTCTAGTCCTATAGGGCTAGTCTATAGTCTAGTCTATAGTCTAGTCTAATAGTCTAAGTCTATAGTCTAGTCTATAGTCTAGTCTATAGTCTAGTCTATAGTCTAGTCTATAGTCTAGTCTATAGTCTAGTTTATAGTCTAGTCTATAGTCTAGTCTATAGTCTAGTCTATAGTCTCGTCTATAGTCTAGTCCAGCGGTTTCCCACCGTTTTTTACTTCGCGGACCCCCTTGAGGAATTTATTTAATTTCACGGACCCCCATACATATTTTGATATCTTATTGTTATAAATAATTGTTCATCCGAAAATTGTCTTAGTCCTGGTCCATAAACCCTATAAAATATTCCCGTACATTGAGAATATTTAGTATTTCGGAGATGTTTTCAATTGCATGGTTTTAAATATAGAATGACTTCTAACATGATGTTTAATTTTATGATCGTGAGAGCTTTTATGTTCATTTCTCGTCAAGGTAGCGAAAAGGTTTCTTTATCAAGTATTGTCGACATGTGCTTAAAGAGTCATGTTTCTAAATTTTTTTGCGATTGCATAGGAGTGAGCTGAGTATGTAAGCGAAGTTTTCGAGAAAATATGTGAATGTTAGACTTCTTCGATGTTGATGCGGAATGCGTTACCCACATAAAATATGACCTGAACTCTTTGCGAATGTACTGTGAATTTGGATCTTAAATTTGAATTTTAAAATACCTACGAATTATTTTACTGCGTGGTTTTGACTATTTACGCAAAACGCTATGAATTTTCTGATGTTGATTTAATAATATTGGACAACAAAATGAAGTTAAAATCTATGTAACACGTCGGAATGGAATATTTATATTTAAAATTAACTAGATTAACACTTTTGCTTACAATTAAAAAAAATATTATGAAATGTGACCTAACTTCATATTCCGGGATACCAGTATCAGTATTTAATTCTAAGGCAAATCATTATCCGTCTGATATAAAAACATTTATTTCGATACATATACATTTATAAAAATTACAAATCACGTAATACTTTACTTTATAAAAGTGAAACAATAAATTTGTAGGACCTAGCTTCATCCTGATAAACGACCGAAACAATAAAATTCAAAAAGTCACCAACAAATCTGGAGATATTTTTAATATTTTCTAACATATAGAGAATATTTATTATTCATGATTTTTTTCTTTTGTCTTCGCGGACCCCCTAGGATTGTGCTACGGACCACTAGGGGTCCGCGGACCCCCTTTTGGGAACCGTAGGTCTAGTCTATAGTCTAGTCTATAGTCTAGTCTAGTCTATAGTCTAGTCTATAGTCTAGTCTATAGTCTAGTCTATAGTCTAGTCTATAGTCTAGTCTATAGTCTAGTCTATAGTCTAGTCTATAGTCTAGTCTATAGTTTAGTCTAGTCTATAGTCTAGTCTATAGTCTAGTTTATAGTCTAGTCTATAGTCTAGTCTATAGTCTAGTCTATAGTTTAGTCTATAGTTTAGTCTATAGTCTAGTCTATTGTCGAGTCAATAGTTTAGTCTATAGACTAATACATAGTCTAGTTTAGAGCCTAGAGTCTGGTCTATAATATATTCTAGTCTAGTTTAGCGAATAGTTCTTTAAAAACTTTGCATACCTGGTAAAGGGTATAAAAAACACTGTTGTTTAAATACCCATTTTGTTTATCAATTAAAAATCATCCGGCAACATCATTGCATAAATTTAGTATGTATGAGTGAGTAGTTTTCAAATGCGTACATACGTGTGTGTGAGTGTAATTTTGCACAAAGAAGAGGGAGTCTGCAAAGTGGGGGTGTTCGTGTTTTGTGTCTGTTTTTTTTTTTAATTTTACAAGAATTCTTTACAAAATTTCAATAAAACAAGACAAAATTTTGTGGTAAACGTAACAGGGAAACTAAACTAAAACATAGAATAAGAAAAGAAAAAAGAATTGATCTTTCCAAGTTGCAAATGAGAGTGAATTTTTTATTGTTTCTGTTTAAATTGCAGGCAAGACGACTAAAAACCAACAATAACAACGGAAACAATATGTGTAAAGTATAAATATTATAAGAAAAACAAAATTGTTTTATATTTAAAACTTATTGTCATCATGTTGGTTGCAACACCGGGACAGACAACAGCTTACAGTACAATACACAATAATAATAACAACAACAGTAGTAGTAATGGTGGTGGCGTTGGCAGCAACACAGTGGCGGCTGCAACTACAACCAAAAAGTCCAACAGCTTAAACTCCACAAATACAACAGCCTCGGGTACACCGAAATCTTTGAACAACAATAATAGCCATACGGCAGCGGTGGTGGCAAATAAAAATTCTCTTAATTCCAATACACAACAATCTTACCATAATCATACAAATCTCAAACATGACAGCATAGTATCCCATAAACTTCAACAACAAAACAAAATGACAGCCACATCTTCCAGAGAAGCAATTTCATCGAACCTTACAGCTGCTGCAACAACTCATTCCTTAAAAAACGAAAATTCCACCAGTAACACAAACACTACCAACAATACCACCACCACCAACATCATCACCTCCAACTCCTCGAGCAAACAACAAAGTTTTATACAAACTCTTAAAGATTCTGTACAAAAAGCTTTAATTACCACAACCGGCACTAGTGGCAGCGGCCACAATTCCATTGTCACTAAACTTTCCACTGATAATAAATTACCAACAAATAGTAATAATTTGACAACGTCCATACACAATGTCACCTCATCTTCCGCAGCCACAACCCATAATGCAACTAAAGTCTCTACGACTACAACATCTACCAATTCGAGCAATTCAACAGCTGCTACTCAGTCCTTGTCGTCGTCAACATCATCGTCAGTGTCTCTGGTTCGTAGTAAATATTTTTCATGTTCATTGTCTAAACTGCATACGGTGGCGCCCACTATAATACATCGTTATCCGGAAGAGCGCCAGCATGCTAGCAGTACTGATAGTCTGCAAAAGGAAATGTGCCATTTTAAACCGATACGTATAGTGCCCACAACTCCATGGAAGAGGTGAGTGTTTTTATGGAAATAAATTTCGAACTATTCGACAGGGGAAAAAAGCTCTTTGAACAGACAACTTCCTTCTAAATCAGTTTTAAAAAATAGTTTTTCATAAAGAAAAAGCTGTTGAAATTTCTTTTAAAACAGCTTTTACTGAAAAAAAAACTTCACAAAAACTTTTTCTTTTCACAAAAGTGTTTTCTTGAAAATCAATTTTTGTAAAAATACTGTTTTAAAAATTTGTATTCTTTTTATAAAAAAAACTACATATTTTCACAAAAAAGCTTTTCTTAAAAAGAGCTTTCTTGAAAAACCTTTTTTACAAAAGAGCTTTCTTGAAAAACCTTTCTTACAAAAGAGCTTTCTTGAAAAACCTTTTTTACAAAAGAGCTTTCTTGAAAAAGCGCTTATCACACTGGAGCTTTCTTTAGAAATATGTTTTTCGCAGAGGGGCTTTCTTAAAAAAGCTCTAGTTTCTCTCTTTTTTTACGTTTTCGTTTACATTAAAAATTATTTTTAAGCTTTTTCTCAAAAGATCTTTCTTAAAAAAACGTTTGTCATAAAAGACTTAATTGAAAAAGCTTAAACATGTTTGCAACATTTCTTTGAAAGGGCTTAAAGAGCTCTAAAAACTAAACTTTGAAAGCACTTTTTCACAAATAACTTTTTTTAAAGCTCTTCCACACAAAGTTTTTTCAAAGCTCTTTTTCACAAAAATCTTTGTCAAATGCTCTTTTTTACAAAAAAGTTTTGTTGAAAAAGCTGTTTTTCACAAAAAAGTTATTTCTGCAAAGCAGCACTCTTGAAAAAACAGATTTTTATATAAGAGCTTTTCTGAAAAACTTTTTACGAAAGAGCTTTCTTAAAAACTGTTTTTTTTTTTTTTTTTTTGAAAAACCTTTTTTGAAAGAGCTCGAAAAAGCTTTCCTTAAAAAGTTCATTTTACAAAAAAGCTTTCACAAATATATTTTTGAAAAAAGCTCTTTCACAAAAATATTTTTGAAAAAATATAGCATATTTTTGAAAGCTCTATTAGAAGAAAATTTTGAGCAATTTTTCATGAAAAAAGCTTTCATTAAAAAAACCTATTTTAAATATAATTTCCTTTTAAATTCAAAGCTTTTTAAAAAGTTTTTTTTTAGCATAATCTCCATCACAAATAAAAGAAGAAAACTTTTCCAAAACTCACTTCCAAACAGAGCTAAAATATTTTTTTTAATTTCGTTTCTTTCCAGCGGCAGCAAATCTCGTGGCAATTCATTGCGTTTTCCCAAAGCAAATCTTGCCACTAAAAAAACTGAATTTGTTTTAAAATCCAACTGTGATGTTAATAATAGAAAGAAGAGACAACAACAAAATCGTACACAAACTGATAAAATCAATTTGGATAAAGATGATGATAATGAACAAGAAAATAAAGAATTTCATGGAATCTATAAACCAAAGCCAAGGTAATGTTAAAGAACTGAGTTCAAAAAACTGTATAAATTTGAATTTAAAAAAAATTTCATAAAAATGTTGGAATATTTATTAAAAAAAAAGTAAACTATGGAAATTCTCACAAATATGTGTTGTTATATATTGACAAATATAAACAATTGGGAAATAAAAATGTAATTTTTATTGGTGAAAAATTTTTTTTTGAATTGAAATTTTTAAGAAATTGTTTTAAACCAAATTTATAAAATGTAATTAATAATATCTTAACTGCAGAGTAAAAATTTACTAAATTAATTATAACTTTTATTAAAGCTTAACTTGTTTATCCACCTCCGTTACCACACCAAATCATCAATCGGCTTTTGTGTGTTTGGTAGCCCAAATGAAGAGTCTCGTAAATCTACAGTCCAAAAAACAACAAACCCCTAATGTTGTAGAGGGAGGCAATAATGAAACCATCAAAGAATTATATGTAAGAAAAAAACCAGCCAATAGAAAGTCTTTGACGGCCAGGGAAATAGAGTCAGCAAAGGAATTGTCCAAGAGTCGCACAACTCGTCTGACATTAAATAAACGTGTCTCAAATAGCACCACCAACAACAAAACCACCACACTAAACACTTCAAAAGAAAATGTTAAACGAACAAATGCCAAATCAAATAATAGTATTTCCAAATCATCAACGGCGGCAATAACAAAAGCCAAATCACGCAGAAAATTAGGACGTGCCAAATCGAAAACCATTAACCTGGTTAACTTGGCCTCCACAAGAGGCAAAGGAAAATTACAAAATAGTGTGTCTATGCCGGCGGTAGTGAGTAATGAAGCCACGGCCACCGCCACAGTGAACAAAAGATCACGTAAACGTAAACTAGATCCAGAAGAAGATGAAATAACTTCACCCAATAAAATCACTTCCAGTAAATCTCTAGCCCTAGGAGCACGTAAAAGTACTAGACTATCTAAGGATATGACTAGCAACACATTTAAATCACCCATCACTACTACTAACCTCAAAACATCTCAAAGAACACGCAAGAATCCCACAACGGTTGTATGTTTTTCACCACCATTAACACGTTCCCGACTGAAGCATTTAGCCGAACAGGGTAAGATTATAACAACTAATACAACAGCAACAACAGAAGTTAAAAAGCGTAGAAATTAAGTGATAAATTTTGTAATAATTGTTTTTTTCTTCCTTTCTTTCGTTTATGCATGTTTCTTTGTGGTTTTAAACAAGATCTCTGAAAAAGAATGAACACATTGTAACTAAATGTGATGGCTTAACGAATTTCTTTAATAATTTCCCATTTTATATTCTTGTTTTCTTTCTGTATCTCATTCCCTAGTATGTTTTGTTATTAAAAACTTATTAAAATCATAATTAAAAATATTCTACAAAAATTTGTCTTCATTGTTGCGGTAATGTTTTTGGCCACGAATTAAGTCACTAGCAAGCCAATAGACTTCTTCATAGAATCAAAATCAAAATAAAATATCATTCCTAAAAGCAAATAGTACCCAAAATTTGCTATTCTTATTTGTACTTTTATTGTCCAAAAACTGTAATATGTATGAAAAGCTATAAAACAAATGAATGTCATTTAAATATGAATTTCCCTCCAAAAAATTGTTCGTACTCGTCTGATTTCCATGTAAATGCCATTCCCGTGTTCCTAATATCAGTATGTCAGATTTTTGTTTTCACCTTTTTGAGAAGTTTATGTATAACTTTGTTATTCCGTTTATAATTTTTACAAATACACTGAAACCTAATCTATTGGACATGCTTTCGAGAATTTTGCTACTAAAAATCAGCTAAATTGTTACATATATAAAGGAGATATGAACAAAATTCCGAAAAACCAATAATACAAGCCGACAAATTTTTAACTCAAAGTATACAATTTCTAGAGAAAGAACTAGTTCACTAGTTTTGGTTCTGTTCTAGTTCTAATCTACTTCTGTTCTAATTGTAGTTCTATTTTAGTTCAGTTCTAGTTCAGTTTTAGTTCAGTTCTAGTTCAGTTCTAGTTCTAGTTCAGTTCTAGTTCAGTTCTAGTTCAGTTCTAGTTCAGTTCTAGTTCAGTTCTAGTTCAGTTCTAGTTCAGTTCTATTCAGTTCTTATTCAGTTCTTATTCAGTTCTAGTTCAGTTCTAATTCAGTTCTAGTTCAGTTCTAGTTCAGTTCTAGTTCAGTTCTAGTTCAGTTCTAGTTCAGTTCTAGTTCAGTTCTAGTTCAGTTCTAGTTCAGTTCTAGTTCAGTTCTAGTTCAGTTCTAGTTCAGTTCTAGTTCAGTTCTAGTTCAGTTCTAGTTCAGTTCTAGTTCAGTTCTAGTTCAGTTCTAGTTCAGTTCTAGTTCTAGTTCAGTTCTAGTTCAGTTCTAGTTCAGTTCTAGTTCAGTTCTAGTTCAGTTCTAGTTCAGTTCTAGTTCAGTTCTAGTTCAGTTCTAGTTCAGTTCTAGTTCAGTTCTAGTTCAGTTCTAGTTCAGTTCTAGTTCAGTTCTAGTTCAGTTCTAGTTCAGTTCTAGTTCAGTTCTAGTTCAGTTCTAGTTCAGTTCTAGTTCAGTTCTAGTTCAGTTCAGTTCTAGTTCAGTTCTAGTTCAGTTCAGTTCTAGTTCAGTTCTAGTTCAGTTCTAGTTCAGTTCTAGTTCAGTTATAGTTCAGTTCTAGTTCAGTTCTAGTTCAGTTCTAGTTTAGTTCTAGTTCAGTTCAGTTAGTTCAGTTCTAGTTCAGTTCTAGTTCAGTTCTAGTTCAGTTCAGTTCTAGTTCAGTTCAGTTCAGTTCAGTTCTAGTTCAGTTCAGTTCTAGTTCAGTTCTAGTTCAGTTCTAGTTCAGTTCTAGTTCAGTTCTAGTTCAGTTCTAGTTCAGTTCTAGTTCAGTTCTAGTTCAGTTCTAGTTCAGTTCTAGTTCAGTTCAGTTCTAGTTCAGTTCTAGTTCAGTTCTAGTTCAGTTCTAGTTCAGTTCTAGTTCAGTTCTAGTTCAGTTCTAGTTCAGTTCTAGTTCAGTTCTAGTTCAGTTCTAGTTCAGTTCTAGTTCAGTTCTAGTTCAGTTCTAGTTCAGTTCTAGTTCAGTTCTAGTTCAGTTCTAGTTCAGTTCTAGTTCAGTTCTAGTTCAGTTCTAGTTCAGTTCTAGTTCAGTTTTAGTTCAGCTCTAGTTCAGTTCTAGTTCAGTTCTATTTCAGTTCTAGTTTAGTTCTATTTCAGTTCTAGTTCTGTCCTATTTCAGTTTTAGTTCAGTTGTATTTCAGTTCTAGTTCTGTTCTGTTCAGTTCTAGTTCAGTTCTGTTCTGTTCTATTTCAGTTTTAGTTCTGTTCTATTTCAGTTCTAGTTCTGTTCTGTTTTAGTTCTGTTCTAGTTCTGTTCTAGTTCTGTTCTAGTTCTGTTCTAGTTCTGTTTTAGTTCGGTTCTAGTTCTGTTCTAGTCCTGTTTTAGTTCTGTTCTAGTTCTGTTCTAATACTGTTCCTCGAATTTTTCCATCACATCTGGGATTCGTGTCCTTCAACTTCAACTAGAGATATATCCGAAAATATGGGTTCTGGGAATTTTACTCATATTTGAAACATTTATGGGCAAAATTTGAGAATTTTTTGTAAAAGCTAAAGAAAAATCTAAAAATTATAGATCTTTTATTTAAAAATTTGTAGCGAAATTTTAGAATTTTTGTTACAAAAATACTAAATTTCTAAATTCTATTTATTTATTAATTATTAATTTTTTATTTTATTTTTTTTATTAAAATTTTTTTTTACAAAATTTTTATCTTCAACCAACAAAAATTTTAAAATCGTACTGGGGAAGGAATGATATAAATGATTACAATATAAATAAATGTATTATTACAAGAAAATTTAAAATTATACATTTTAAACTTAACAAAAACAAAAAAACTCAATTATTTATAAGAAAACTATATTAAAAAACAAAAACAAATTAAATTAATTATTAGTAGACATCAAAGTTTATACATGTGAAAGAATTAAAATTAAAACAAAAAATAACAATGTTTAAGCAAAACAAAAACCCTTAAATTTGCAAAAAATATATAAATAAACATTTCCTAATACAAAAAAAAATAACTCTTAAAGTAATAAAAATAAAAATTTAAAATAATATCTATAAGACAAATATTTAGTCATTATAAAAACAAAAATAAAGATATTTTCCTATAATTTATTTAATAAGTTCGAGGTTTTTTTACGATATTTAAAATTTCAAATATAAAAAATTAAATACTTATTTTAAACATAAAACATTTGTGTTTTTAAAAAACCATTTAAAAACTTTCTATGAAATTAAAAAAAAAGGAAACAGGAAGCGTAATAAAACTGTGTGTTGTGATATAAAATTGAAAAAAAATTATAATTTTATTCGTTTATAATTATAATTTGTATACAATTAATTTATTTTCTTTAGTTATTTTAACTTAAAAATGCACTTTATTCATTTTTATTTTTTAATTATTATATTGTAAGTTTAGAAAGTGCAAAACCATGTTGTGTAAGTGTAGCTTGTGCGTCGAGATATTTGAATTTTATTTAATTTAATTAATTTAGTAAGATTTATAAATTTTATGTTTAATTTATGTATTTTCTTACAAAAAAGAAAAAAATTGCAAAATTTAATCTAGTATTTAGTATAACCTAAAAAAAAGAAATATCAAGGCATATTGTAAAAGTCAAATAAAAACTAAAAAATAAAAAAAAAACACAAGACACAAATTACACAATTATTACAATTTAAATTATTATAAACAGAAAAATTAATGAGCCACTAATTAATATAAATAAATAAAAAATTAAGTAATAAAATTAAATGTTTTCGTAGTTTAAAGGAATTCACTTCAAGATAAAATACAAAAAGCTAAAAAATACTATAGAAAATACCACATAGCACATGGAAAATTCTGTACTTTAGTACTGTCATAAAATACCGCGGTACCTCCAAAACATTTTCGGTATTTTTTTCTAACTTATAAACATTTGATAAATAATTCACTTATTAGGTAATATAGTCTAGTCTATAGTCTATTCTATAGTCTATTTTATAGACTAGTCTATAGTCTACTTTATAGTCTATTTTATAGTCAAGTCTATAGTGTAGTCTATAGTCTCGTCTATAGTAGTCTAGTCTATAGTCTAGTCTATAGTCTAGTCTATAGTCTAGTCTATAGTCTAGTCTATAGTCTAGTCTATAGTCTAGTCTATAGTCTAGTCTATAGTCTAGTCTATAGTCTAGTCTATAGTCTAGTCTATAGTCTAGTCTATAGTCTAGTCTATAGTCTAGTCTATAGTCTAGTCTATAGTCTAGTCTATAGTCTAGTCTATAGTCTAGTCTATAGTCTAGTCTATAGTCTAGTCTAGTCTAGTCTATAGTCTAGTCTATAGTCTAGTCTATAGTCTAGTCTATAGTCTAGTATAGTCTAGTCTATAGTCTAGTCTATAGTCTAGACTATAGTCTAGTCTATAGTCTAGTCTATAGTCTAGTCTATAGTCTAGTCTATAGTCTAGTCTATAGTCTAGTCTAGTCTATAGTCTAGTCTATAGTCTAGTCTAGTCTAGTCTATAGTGTAGTTTAGTCTAGTCTATAGTCTAGTCTAGTCTATAGTCTAGTCTAGTCTATAGTCTAGTCTAGTCTAGTCTAGTCTAGTCTAGTCTATAGTCTAGTCTAATCTAGTCTAGTCTATAGTCTAGTCTATAGTCTAGTCTAGTTTAGTCTATAGTCTAGTCTATAGTCTAGTCTATAGTCTAGTCTATAGTCTAGTCTATAGTCTAGTCTATAGTCTAGTCTATAGTCTAGTCTATAGTGTAGTCTATAGTGTAGTCTATAGTCTAGTCTATAGTCTAGTCTATAGTCGTCTATAGTCTAGTCTATAGTCTAGTCTATAGTCTAGTCTATAGTCTAGTCTATAGTCTAGTCTAGTCTATAGTCTAGTCTATAGTCTAGTCTATAGTCTAGTCTATGGTCTAGCCTATAGTCTAATTTATAGTCTAGTCTATAGTTTAGTCTATAGTCTAGTTTGTAGTCTATAGTCTAGTCAATTGTCTAGTCAATAGTCTAGTCTATAGTCAGGTCTATAGTCTAGTCTATAGTCTAGTTTGTAGTCTATAGTCTAGTCAATAGTCTAGTCTATAGTCTAGTCTATAGTCAGGTCTATAGTCTAGTCTATAGTCTAGTCTATAGTCTAGTTTATAGTAGACTAGACTATACTATAGCCTATTGTCTAGTCTATAGTCTAGTCTATAGTCTGGTCTATAGTATAGTCTATAGTCTTGTCTATAGTCTAGTCTATAGTCTAGTCTATAATCTAGTCTATATTGTCTATAGTCTAGTCTATAGTCTAGTCTATAGTCTAGTCTATAGTCTAGTCTATAGTCTAGTCTATAGTCTAGTCTATAGTCTAGTCTATAGTCTAGTCTATAGTCTAGTCTATAGTCTAGTCTATAATCTAGTCTATATTCTAGTCTATAGTCTAGTCTAGTCTATTGTCAAGTCTATAGTCAAGTCTATAATCTGGTCTATGATATGGTGATAATCTAATCTATAGTCTATAGTATAGACTATACTATAATAGTATAGACTCATATAGTATATGGACTATAGTGTAGCCTATAGTCTAACCTAGAGTCTAGTCTATAATCTGGTTTGTAATCTAGTCTTTGTCTAGTCCGTAGTCTAGTCTAGGCTATAGTTTCACTCATGGGAAGATAGTGAGTCATTGGGTGATAAGTGTGGTGATGGATGGACTGTTGCAATACTATCGAACCATGGCACTGCCTAAGGAGGAGTGCTATTTCCTCTTCTGTGGAATGTGACTACAAACGCCCTACTGATGGAATATTAAAACTACTGCTTACACTGACGCCGTTACTCTATTGATATTAGGAAAATTCATTGTATGAAATTAGTACTCAGATTACTGAGTATAAGAAGAAATGGGTATCACTCCTGCGATGTTAGTTTTCAACCGATTTGAGTACCTTACAAAAGTCCTCAATTTATCGATATCAACCCTGATAATAACCGAGGTCTGGAAATTGGGCAAGGTTGTTTCCTTACTGAAACGAAAGAAAAGTGCAAACCAGGGAGAATGAAACAGGCCAATCCCCCTCCAGTCACCAATTGGCAAGACACTTGAGGCCCTACTCCTCCAGGAATTACAACAACATCTACATCCAGCAGATCATCAACATGAATTTCGTTTAAAGCACCGCACAACAAGTTTTAACCGCCATCACCACACAAGTTTGCCACGCCTTGTGTGGCAACACCAAGAGTTGGCTAGTGAATTGCATGTGTGGACGACAGTAATTCGTGGAGTTTAGAAACCAAAGATCCAAGTCTAGTAAAATTAAACAGGGAGAAAAATCCAGACGGTAAATGATCACAAAATACTTAGTGTCACATTCGATAGCCTCCCTATGTCCTCCGCGCACACCACTGCAATCAGCAACTAGTCTTGGAATGGATAAAGAAATCTTGTAGTTAACCTACTAAACGATTGGCCGGTCGATGGCAAACTACACAGCGCCAGTGTGGATTCCGAAAGTTTGCGACCCACAATAGAAGAAGCTCCAAAGATGTCAAAGCGTAGCCCTTAGAACAGTAACAGACTGTATTCAAATGACGTCAAAAGAACACCTACATGACGAGACGAAGATGCTTTCGGATATGAGACATAACACCATGCTATCAAAGATGTTTTGTCCAACCGATTTAAATGGTGGTTGTGCATAACTTACCCTTTATCTCTTTATAATATTGCCTCTTATTCCCCTCCAAAAAAAAAAAGAACAATGCCGCAAACGTTTTCGAGCTTTGGGATATCCTTTCGATATAACCTAATATGGATTTCCATTATCATAAATAAAAATCTCTAAAAATACCAATAAAATTCCTATTTTTTATTGTTTCTTTTTATTTTTCTTTAATAAATCATTCCTCTTCCACCAATATCATTTGCTGCGGCAAAACATCCCATAAATCTTTCAACTTATAACCATCGCGTATACGTTCCATGGCAAAACCCAATTCCTTACAATAGACTGGCTCCCGGGGCGGTTTCTCCTCACCCACCGACAAACTACCTTCGGCCAAATAAGTATTTAACTTAGAATTGATTTCCTTCTCCTGACGTTCGTCGATTTCTTGAAACTCCTCTATGCGTATCTCCTTGCGTTGAGCATTTGCCGAGGCATTTTGTTTTTCCAATTCTGTGCTTTCATAGGCAATACCAAAATTAGGATTTTCCGTAAAGATCGAATGCAAAGAAATAAGTTCTTGAAAAATTTCCGTTAAACGTTCGGGAGGATCAATGCGAAAGCCTAAAACGTAACCACCTCCCGTCTCAGCGGTTTGTACTACTAAGGCTGGTCCATATTTAGATTCGCGTATGCGTATCTGGGTATAAAGAAGAAGAAATTCTTTAGTTTGGGTTCGTTTAGTTTTCGGAGATAAACTTACATTAGCTATTTGCATATAGGGTAAACTTATATTGAAGGTCTCATTGGCATCAGCATACCAAACCACACGTATATTGCTGACCACAAAACAACCCAAATTACCTTGATCACTCGATAAATTCCAAACACCTTCGACTTTATTGAATACCTGTTCTTGGGGTAAAATAATCAATTGACCGGATTGTAAAATGGCACCACGTAACTTTAAATCGCGATACAAATAGGTGCGTTGATATAAGCTGGATTAAAACAAGAATTGGGAAATTAAGATTTGCATTTAATTATAAATATGGAGTTTGTCTTCAACGTTTTTACTCACTGATATATATCAAAAACACTTTGGAATATAGGCTTATGTTTTCGCTCCGTTTCCCCTGATACATCCGTAAAAAGGAATTCAAATCTTGTGCTGCCGCCTATAGCCAAAATATATAAAGCCAAACAATTTCCCCGGATTTTATTGGTCACAGTTTTGGTATTAATATTGGCAATACGACCATAACCAATGGCTAAAAATCAACTATATAGTTAAAAATTCCAAGAACTTTGAAAACAAAAACTTACAAAGATTAAACTTCTTATGGACCAAAGAATACCAAATTAAACGCAAATTTGTAGCCAATAAACGTCCCGAATCTCCGGGATTTCCTTTAGTATCCTCAATGTAATAGATGGTGGATAATACCTTTTCACCATTACGTAGACGTTTTTGACTAAAATTGTATTTAATAATTAGAGTTTTTGAATATTATTAATGATTTCTAGACCTACACATGGGCTGTATCAAATTTGATTTCTTTATCCTCCCACAATAAACTGAATGGTTCAATGGTTTCCATTTTTTCGGTAATATTTTTTAATAGAATTTCTTTTCCCTTAAGTGTAAATCAGCCACTTGTTGTGGCCATTTGGTTTAATTAAATTTGTATACAAGTTGCTAGGATACGTAAATTCATCAAAACAATGTTGTCAATATGGTTGGAATATTAAAAAAATGTTACTAAACTATGGACAGGATGAACTATGATTGATACATCTTCCTTTAATCGAGAACATTCGATTGTTACAATCATTAATCTTCATTGATCAGTGATGAATTATAATTATTCATCACTGATGGACAATGTTTAAAGGAATCGCTGTAAATAAAGCAGAAACTGAACTTGTTCATTTGAACAGACGATATAATATGTACAGTGTCTCTCATAATTATTCGAATTTGGGTAAACTATAAAAAGAAACCAAATTTAATAATATATTTTGTGTGTAAAATAAATAAATTAATTTGTTATATTGTCTAGATAGTCCTTATGTTTGATATCACGCTTTTTAAAACTTGAAAAATTTGTATTGACTTAAATTAATTGTGCTTTTTTAAAAAAAGTCCATGAAATTGCCTCACAAAAGTATACGAATTTTTCCTGTATTTCATATTTGATCATATTATACGCAACACAAATTTTAGAATCGAATGGTTTTTATGCGTAATATTGTTTTAAGGGGTTACTATCCACGGAAAGGATATATTTTTGGCCCATTTGGTCCACAATTTTGGGGAATTTGTACCCTTTTTTCATGTAATATCATTAAAATAGCGATTTTTTACCATAATTGTAAATTTTTCTCCTTTTTTCCAGAGATAAAACAAAAATTTGATATTGGGACTCAAAAGACCCCTTGGGGTATCTAAAAATAATATCTTTTGTTACAAGAATCTGTATTTAAACGTTCCAAGATAAATTATTCGGATCATTCTTCTTTCGCTAATTCAATATATTGGAACTTAAGTCCATTTTTATAATACTAGGATCAACTATTTTCGGGGAAAGTTTTTTGGCATATATTCTTTTAGATATCAGCTTTTATACATTTTAAGTTTTCAATGTGTTGTGGAAGTGTACAACTCCAAAACATGCCTCGAAGAAACACCATTCAAAATAGTAAAATCATTATTTTTATATAGCAATGGCCTCCATGCTGCATGGCACGATATCATTATGATCACATCAAAAATGTTGATATGTGTTTAAATATTATTTACTATGATCAAATTAAAACCAAAATTTAGGACTTACAGTGTTATTGTAACGGGCAACATAAGCGTGAAAGTTACGAGTAGTAAAAACTGAAATCTACTATATAGGATGACGTTTTGTTAAGGCATGTTTTGGGGTTATATACCGCTATAATATATTGAAAATTTAAAATACATTAGTGCCAATATGTACATGAATATACACTAGACAACTTTGTCGGAAAATATCGTCCCTAGAGGTACGAAAAGGGACTTATGATCCAGATAATTCAATTAGAAAATGCAAAACGATAGCAAAAATACATCTTGGAACGTTTAAGTACAGATCCTTATAACAAAAAATATTATTTTTAGATACCCTATGGTTTCTATTTAATTCCAATATTAAATTTTGGTTTTATCTCTGGAAAAAGGGTGAAAACATTACAAATATAGCCAAAAATCGCCATTTTAATGATATTACATGAAAAGAGGGTACAAATCCCCCAAAATTGTGGACCAAATGGGTCAAAAATATATCCATGCGGTTGATAGTAACCCCTTAAAACCATATTAAGCATAAAACCATGCGATTCTAAAATGTGTGTATCGTATAATATGATCAAATATGAAATACAGGAAAAATTCGCATACTTTTGTGAAGTAGTTTCATGGACTTTTTTTAAAAAGAGCATAACTAATTTAAGTAAATGTAAAGTTTTCAAGTTTTAAGGGGCGTGATATCAAAACTAAAGACTATCTAGACAATATAACAAATTTATTTATTTATTTCCCACACAAAATATATTATTAAATTTGGTTTCTTTTCATAGTTTACCTAAATTCGAATACTTATGAGAGACACTGTATATGTAAGTAGATAACATCAGTCAGCCTTCGTTAGTTGGCATCGAGCTAAGTTTATATAATGGAACTGTGTTTTTAGGTTCCTTCCTTAATGGCAAATTTTCATCGAAGGACAATACTCAGTAAATAATGAAGAAGAAACTCAACGTATACTATATGCGCTGTAATTCAAATGGTAGCCCATTCTAATGGATGTATTGTCTGGTGGGAGTCTTTGAAAGCAGACAAGTATAGAAAGCTATTCAATAAAGTCCAAATATGTGTCTTTTTGGGGATTACAGGTGCTATAGAAAGTACACTACAAACGGCATTGGTTATCCTACTATATCTTTCCCCTATTGAACACTATGTAGACGGTGTGGCATTCCTGTTCATGGAATATTTTTGTATGTCGGACAACAAAGTTTTCGAATAGAGACGATTGATTTGGATTCGATAAACTGTTCACGGGATTTCAAGGGAAATTCCCAACAATCTGGGAAGCAAAGAAACTGATACGGGATCATAGAATTTCAACTGTCAGACAGCACTCAGGCTATTGATATGACATACAGTACATTCTTGCAAGACTCGGAGGGAAGGGGGTAAAATCACACTTTTGCACTTTTAATGCATTATTTCTGAAAGATTCCGAAGCATTTCTCTACTAGTTCTAGATCATTAAAATGGATTGCAGAGAATCTAACGCTTTATGGCCAAAACTTGTTGCAAAGGTTACCAATATACTTACGGAACTTGGCAAATGTAGTAGAAGGTTGTGAAGGTGACATTGCTCCATTAGAGCTTTTTTTTAGTAAACGGAACAATAACCTACCGGGCACGCCATTCAGTTTCTTGGGCTGTTGGAATCGCGAATTCTAGCGTCCTTAAGTGCCATAAAACAGAAATCATGAAGCTTACTAAATTGTCCTGTTCATATCAGACTGACATCAACCAGATCCTTAAATTTGCGGTCTTTAGTTGAAGAAAATATAAATCCGTTAGATGGTGTTTTGGGAGGCCCCTCCGTTAACATCCCAGTAGGAACTGCTTTGATAGCTTGGTGTTATGTTCCATAACCGAAGATCTTCATCTCGTCATGTATGTAGGTGTTCTTCTGACGTCATTTGTATACAGCCTGTTACTGTTCTAAGGGCTGCATTTTGACAGCTTTCGAACTTCTTCCATTATATATCGCTAACTCTCGGAGTCCACACTGGCGTAGTTTACCACTGTCCGAGCAATCGTTTGGTATGTAGTTAAAAAAGTTTCTATATCTATTCCCCAAGTGCTGCCAACTAAAGAGTTGAGTATCTTATTTCTACTTCGCATTTTGTTGCAGATTGCAGTGGTGTGCGCGTAGGACATAAGGAGGCTATCGAATTTGACACCAAGTATTTTGGAATAATTTACCGTCGGGATTTTGGGATTTTTTCGCCATCGACTGTCGCATCCAATTCTAGAACTACTTCCTTTGTCCAAGCAGTGAAGATAGGATTTTGTCGGTGATATTTTCAAATTCCTCAAATGGAAGAAGCTGGAAAGATCACATAAGTAAATGTTTACAAACCGCAAAGGCCATCAATACTATTGCCCTTATCCGTGCCCAATATCGAGCCGTCATCGGCGTACGATGACATGTTTAGAAATATAGAAATTAAACAGGACTCGCGAAAGGACCTTGGGGAACTCCCATTTAAATTCTACGAGACTTGGATCTCTGGTTCCTAAACTCCACGAATAACTGTCCTCCAAACATTTAATTCACTAGCCATCTCTTGGTATTGGCGGAGAGATCTGTTGTAAAATATCTCTGAAGAGAATGGCGCCATTGACCATATCAAAAGCTTTTGATAGATCGAGTTGAACAAGGGCCGTACGTTGACTTAATGGGGCCTTATTAAGGCCGTGGTAAGCTTGTGTGGTGATGGCAGTTAAATCTGTTGTTGTTCTGTACTTTGCACGGAATCCGTGTTGATGTGGATATTGTTGTAACTCCGGAAGGAGTAGTGTCGAACGATTGTAAACCAAGTTGTTTCTACAATTATATTCCAGTCAAAGTATCGAAAATACATGGGCTTATATTTGTTCTGAGGGTTTAACGGTGTTGGTTTAGGACTTTGTGGATCCATATCTTCGACGAAAGTAAAATTATTTGTACATCTTTTTATTTAAAAAAAGTTCAGCTTTATTTTTACGTCTTATATAAAAAGTATTTATAATTAAATATATATTCTTCCAATAGAAAAATATTCTTACAAAAAAAAATCAAACAGAAAAATGCTGGGCACTTAAAAGATTTTCATAAATCAAAATCATTTAAAGGTCTTAGAAAATAAAAATCATTTAAGGCAAATAAAATATTATAAAGAACTGATATTAAAGCTAGCAAAGCTATATGGAAATGTTAAAGATTTTTCTTTAAAGATAAACACAAATAGAGTTTGTTTTATAAAATAAATTAATAGAAAGATTTACAAAAATTTAACTTAAAAACGAAAATAAAATTAAAGATAGAGGGGGGAGGGATTTAAAGCCAATATTAAGTGAAGTTATAAATATTGCAGATAATTTAACAATGATAATGAAGACAATCCTTACTTGTAAGCAAGTAAAGATGTTTTTTAATTTTATAATAAAAAAAATATAATTTAGTTACAAACAATTTAGTTTGTTTACGTTATATAAATAAAAATATTTCCCTCGGCAAAAAGTCTTGCTGCTGGTTTTCATATTGTTGTTGTTTGTTAGTTATGTTAAGGTATTTTACAAATTTACATAATAATTTGAGGTTCTGGTACACTGGCAGCAATATTTTTATGTGGCAATACCTGACCACCATTTATATAGATTTCATCTTTGACAATAACATCTTCACCCAATACCGTGGTACCCTCTAAACGCACCCAACGTCCTACAATCGAACGCCAACCCACAATACAGGAATCTAACCAAGAATGTGACTTAACAATGGCACCTTTTAATATCGTTGAACGTTTTATACAAACACCATCTTCAATGACAACATCTGGACCGATTGTGACATTGGGACCAATGCGACAACCTTGACCAATTTTAGCACTGGGATCAACTAGAACGTTGCCAACAACCCCAGGACCGGTGTAAAGATTCGTTGATTGTTTTTGTCGCAAAGACGAAAGATAGAGACACATGCCTGAAAGATGATAATAAGAACAAATTTAAATAATTGGAGGAAATATTAATCTTAACAAACAATTTATAGGAAGTATAATCTTAACGAATAATAATAAATCTTTTTTTCAATATTTTATAAGGGAAAAGAATTTATAGAAGAAATAAGATAAGCTTTAACAACAATTTAGTAGAATTTTATCTGAGAATATCATAAATTTAAATGTTTGTAGCTAATCTTTTTCTATAAATATGTTTTGCTATCAGATGATAAAAACTAGCTTGTCATTGGCTAATATTTTTGAATCTCTAAAAACCAAATGAGTTTTGAAATCAGAAGTATTATTTGGAAAAACTTTTATACAAATCGGACAATTCAGCGTAAAGTTTAGAACAACTCTTTAAGTTAAAAAGCTCTTAAAAACTTTAAGTTAAGAGCTTTTTAACTTAAATTAGCTTTTCATGGAAAGCATAGCATCTTCCACCAAAGAAAATACTCTCTCTTTATAAAAGTAGAAATTTATAACCGATTATGGCCTATATAGGCTAGGTTATTGAAATAAAGAATTTGAAATTGAAAAAAAATTGAAAAAAAAAGGAATTATCTCTTTACCAACAAAAGCTGTTTTCTCCAAAAAGGGCCGCCAAAAAACAAAAACAAAGTCATCAAAAAAGACTTTACAAACGATTTTTTTTAACTTTAAACAAACAAATATGTTTTTTATCAAAAACATTTTTTAAGGTTTTTTAACAAAAAGATTTTCGAAACTTTTTTATCAAAAAACATTTATTTTGTCAAAAAGCTTTTTGCAAATATGTTGTTTTTTATTAACAAACTTTTTCCTTAAAACAGAAAAATTAAGCTTTTTTATCTAAAAGCTTTTTATTAAGCTTTTATAAATTTGCTTCTTGATTTTTTTAACAAATAGCTTTTTTAACAAAAAGCTTTTTGAAATTTAATAAAAACAAAGATTTTTAACATTTTTAACAAAAAGCTCTTTTACAAAAACTTATTATAAAGCTTTTTTTAACAAAAAGTTTTTTTTAACAAAAAGCTTTTTTTTAACAAAAAGCTAGAGCAAATCTATTTAAACAACGCAAGCATTATAACAAAAGTTTTTTTCATCAAACACGTCAATGATTATTTCACAAAAAAACTGTTTAAACAAAAAAGCTTTTCAACAAGAAACTGATTCTGTCAATAAGTTATTTTTTCTATTTTTTCCTACATGGAAAGCTTTTTTCAAGCTTTTTTCAAAAAGAAAGTTTTTTTTAGGAAAAAGCTTTTTTTCATAAAAAAATAACATTTTATTCCAAAAAAGCTTTTTTCAGCAAAGAAAACATTTTATTTTATCAGAATAAGTTTAAAAATACAAAGTTTCACAAAAAATCTTCTTTTTAAAAAAAAGCAAAGGTTTTTTTTAGCTTTTAAAGCAAAAAAGCTTTTTATGTATTAACCAAACAAACCTTTTTCACAAAATTTCAAAACAAAAATAAAAAGCTTTACCTACATAAAAACTAAGAAAATTGGTTTTGCAAAAAAGCTTTTTTAACAAAAAGCTAAAGAGATTTTTTTTAATGAAGAAAAATAATAAAAGCAACGGTTAACAAAACTTGCTACAAAACTTTTGCCAAAATTTCTTATCTAACAAAAACAATGTAAACCTTACACTTTTTTTAGCAACACCCTATAGCTCTACATACATTGTATGCAATCAATAAAAAATTACAACATATTTGTATTACAAAATTCATTATTATTTTTTGCTCTTAAAAAACCTGAAAAATCATTTCATAGAGCTTAAAAAACAAAAGATAACACAAGAAGCATTTGGCTGAAAACTTTAGAAAAAAAGTTAAAAGTTCTTGTGACTCACGCTAATCAATTTTTTTAAGATAAGAAAAAAAAAGAACGCACACACACATAAAAACACTACAAAACATTAAAAAAGATAATTTTAAACATAAAAAATAAGAAATTGAAAAAAATATTCACCTGTTAGAAAATCTTTTGGTTGTCCAATATCCATCCAGAAACCGGGCAACTCCATGGCAAACAATTGCTGCTCTTCGGCCATAACGGGGAAAATTTCCTTTTCAATGGAAGTAGGTTTCACTTCAATGCGATCCAATACCGAGGGATTGAATATATAAATGCCAGCATTGATTTTATTACTAACAAACTCTTGAGGTTTCTCTATGAAACTCTTAATGCAGCCTTGGTCATCATATAAAACAACACCATATTTAGAGGGTTCCTCTACTTTGGTCACCACTATGGTGCCCTCTTTGCCATGATTACGATGATACTGTTCCAACTGTTTGAAGGGAAAATCACAGATAACATCTGAGTTGAGTACATAGAAAGGTTCTGAGCTGGCATTTAGTATGTGTTTGGCTAAGGCCAAAGGGCCAGCAGTGCCCAAAGGTTCTGTTTCATGGGAAAATACCAATTCAACGCCCAGTTTTTCAGCCTCGATTTTAAGTTCTTTTTCCATTTGTTCGGCGCGATAGGAGACAGCCAAAATTACCTTAAAATTTTAAAGGGATTTTCTATAAGAAGATTTATTATGAATTGCTAATCTGTGAATTGTTACCTGTGTACAGCCAGCAGCCACCAAAGCTTCCAGCTGATGCAATAGAATAGGTTTGTTGGCGAACTCCACCAAAGGTTTGGGTGTACTCAATGTTAAGGGCCTTAAACGGGTGCCATAGCCTCCCACTAGAATCAGGGCACGGGTGCCTTTTGTTACGGGCGGATTAGAACCACACATTGTGTTGATATTTTTCTTATTTTTAGCAATTTAAACAAATAAACGACACGTCAAAATTAATTTTTCTTTTACAGCACACCCCGCATGAGAATTTTCCTGGTAATTAATTGTTTTCAACTTGCTCAGCTCTTAATTAACTAACTGGCTTTTTGGTTAAATGGGATTTTTTTACTTACTTCACTCCTCCCAATAATAATAAACTGATAAGAATGAAAAAAACTAAATTATTTGTTTTACAACAAAAACAACGCTATGAATAAGATTTCTTGAAAACACCAATCAACTTGCAAAACGTCACGTAATTTTTTGTTTTCTTTACAATCAATTATTTATCATTGGATTTTGTTTGTTTGCTATTATTTCGTATTGTTTTAATAATGTTTTTTCTAAATTTATTAATTATTTTATTTAAATTTTGTTACAATCAGATTATATTCTAAATGATGAAATGCAGCGAGAAGAATTCTTGTGACAAGTGTGTGTAATTATTCTTTGTAAATAAAACACTTTTTTTCTGTTTGTTGTCAGAGTAACAAGCCGTAACGGCGCGACCGGCGGCTAGCCGAACAGCCGGTAATTTTTTTCAAGCCGCGCCGCCGCCGAAACCATCGGCTCATCAGCGGCTTATTGCAGAGCTGATTTAATCGGCTGAGTCGATTTTTTCAGTACAAAAAAATGCGACTCAGCCTTTTACATTTTCTTTTACTACATTACTATGTGATCAGTGGAGCTTGCTTTTTATAACGGTTCCTCAAAAAAAAAAAAAAAAAATGAACACGCTAAAAAATTATTTCTTTAATATTGATAATGGTGATGGTGTTGTTGCTGATGGCGTAGGTGATGGTGTTGCTGTTAAAAACAAAAATCAAGTTTTTCAATGAAAACCCCAAAACGCTTTGTTAAAACACGTTTAAAAGACGTCATTAAAAAATCTATATCACAGGCTATACAGAGGCGTCACGAGCAAAAAACTATTTCCCTCTCTTTCGCACAAAACGAATTCAATAATTTTTTTTAGCTGTATTTTATATACCTCTTTTCACCAAACAATTTCAAAATCAAACAAAAGCTGATTTTAGACTTTTTTAAATGTCAAAAGTGACAGCTCTGTATACTTTGTGTCTATATTTTGGTTGAAAAACTATCGCCGCTGATTACTCTGTTTTTATTAATCGACTTTCAAACAATCGACTTATCGAAAAATTTCAAAAAAATCGATGTTGACAATGTTTCAAAAAATCGGTAAATATTCGATTTACTTGTAATAAAAATGTCGCAAAGTAGTCTTTGTAAATAAAATTCGAATAAAGTCGAAAAAATACAAATTAGGGTTCTTTTATCGAAATCGAAATTTTGTTCAAAAAAAATCGGCTAATTTGTAGGAAAAATGTCGAATTTGTAAACATTGAAAAAGAAGACAAAATTTAAAAAAGTCTTCAATAGCAACTTTCGTCAATTTAAAAATTGTAAAAGGTCAAAAATCGAAATCCTACAAAAACACGTTTTCAAATCAAACGAACAAAAATCTTTTGTAAAAATTAAAAATTGCGCATGATTTTTAAGGGATGGAAGTTAATAATAAATATTTCCAGGGCTAAGTTCTGACAAAATTTGAAAAATTTTATTGAAATATTTTTTCTTTTTGCTATTCGCTAATATTGAAAAAAATCACTAGAAATGTCAATAAATAAATGAAAAATCGCACAATAACAACACTTAATACAAGTCTGTTGCAAAAATACAACTCTGCGCAAAAAAATATATACGTCAGGCATGGGAAAATAGTTTTATTGTACTTTTTTCAGTACTTTTTGACATCGAAAAATATTGACATAGATTTTACTCTTTCATATTATTATTTTACAAACATTCATAAGTTGTATCTTAATCTATAGATTTATATTTTGACTAGAGCATAAACAAATTCGGAGAATAGTGGGCAGACTGGTTTTTGAAGAGTCAGTCGAGCAGTTCATAGAATAATCAATAGACTGGTCAATAGACTATAAATTAGCCGAAAGACTCGTGCATAGTAATTAGTATAGTAGACAATAAACTTGTCAATAGCCTAGTCCATAGTTAGTCAATATATGTATTTGTAAACTTATCAATAGATAAAAATATATAGCCGAAAAGTATTTTAGTACCTTTAAACCATAAAAAGTACTCTTTTTGATAAGTATTAGTACTATTTATAAATGTAAATTTTCCATACCTGATTTAAGTGTCGCATGCAGACGAGTGTGAATTTGTGTCTGCCGTGAAAGATTTTCATTTTAATAATTAAAGTGTTAATTGTTTAATAAATCGCCCAAAAACTATTAAAAAGTGTAGTTAAAAAGGTAAGTTATAAGAAATTATAAAAATATTTGCGAAAAATTCATAAGAAAAAACAATTTTCAAAGGAAAATTTTTACTTATATCGAGTATATTTTTTTTGGTATAACTACAAGACGACAGACATATTGGAAACGTTTTAAGAAAATTAATTAACACAGCTGTTTATTTGTTGCTAATTTTCTAGAGCATTTAACAATATTATGAAAATTATACTTAAAAAAGTTTTTTATTTTGGAAGACTCCTTTGAATTTCATCACTTTTTCGCCATCTCATCTGTTTTAACAAAATGTCTTCTTGATTTTTTTTGTTGTTTTTTTTTCTTGCCTTTCGTATTGTGTTTTTTTGCTTTTGCTTTTCTACACCACAATAATTTTCCTGAGAAATACATATGTAAATTATTTATCATATGTTTTGTGTTTAGGTTTTAGTTTTAATGTGGTTTTTTATTATTAAATATTCAAGTGGTTATTTATTTAATATAATGAAACACAAAATTAATAAATTTTATTCTATTTAGTGGAATTTTTTGTTATATTTTCTGGGGTTTGCTGTGTTATTATTGTACCCTACGTCTCTAGAGTAGGTAATACCCAAGTTTGTAATACCCAAGTAGATATGTTCATTTAGTATCCACCAATCGTTGTTATAGAATCACTTCCTAGGTCCACCATCTGCCTGTTTTTATCTAATAATAGTTCGAAATCTAATCACTATAGTTAAACCTTGATAACATACTTTGCCATTAAAATATGTACTACCCAATCACTGTAGGGTATAACAGAGTCAATACATTTTTAATTGTTTCTTAGTTTATTTTAGTTTTCATGTGCTGCAATTTAATTACAAGTGAAAATTAATGCAAAAAACCTTGAAGTGACGTACTATTTTCTTTAGCATACAAAAATAACAAAAACAAAACATTACTGCAAACTGATGCAGCAGCAGCAGCAAGTTAGTTATTATTGCTGTTGCTGAACAACAAGGTGGATGGATGGATACCAAAGTTATTCGTTTGGAATTAATTTGTTTGTCAATTGATGGGACGTTTTGTTGGTTATTGTTTTCAAGTTGTTGTATTTTTTCTCCGCTTGCTAGTGGGAGAGAATTTTTTCTAATAGAATAAATATAGTACCTACTTAAATTGTTTCATTGTATGAGCTTGTTTGTTGGAAGAGAACAAAAAAAGAAAAAAACGTGGCGTAGATTTCTATTGATTTTTCTTTTCATTGGAATACACTAGTTGAGTGTTAATCGAATAATTAAATATAAATTATGCGTAATAATTTAATAATTTCGGAAAATTATTGTTTTCTTTAATGGATAGGGATTTTTAAATTCAACATATAAAATATAAAAATGTCTGAATTCTTATTAGTTATATTCCATCTGAAACAAAAAAGTTTATTAACAGCTAAATCCCTGGACTTACTCTGACAAAAAAGTGAATATCAAGAATATAGAATATCCCTGAGACATCCTGTATCTCGCTAAATCGACATCAACTCATTGTCAACTCGTTCGACCCACAATCACTCCTTTGAGAGGTATCTGTTGTCTAGGCAATAGTACCGGAATATTTTTTTCTATCGTTTGTAACTGTATGCAGAAAAGTAATCGGAATGCAGAATTGGGTTGATTCTCTTCTTAACTAACACGTGCAACTCGAAAGCACCTACTTAATAACTGGCACAAGACAAAATGCGAAACTCTGTCCTGAGCACAATTGGTTCCCGTAATGCCAGATAGGTTAGTACTCTAATCAGACCGCGAGTCTGAGTATAGTTGTCTGGCAGACTCTTGAAAAAGTAATGAGATATTCTGTGCTTTTCATGACCGGTGCACTAAGAACAACTCCTTGAAAGGCTTTGTTTACAATGCTTACCTGGCCTCCAGTTGATCTTCTGGCCAAATAAATAGATATGCTCACTATTTATTTTCAAATGGAACAATTATTCCATGGGTCACGCGAAAATCATGGTTTTTCTACCGAGACCCCAGTACGCTTTTGATTATTGTATCCCGGAACCGTGTCTAGTAAGGCAAATCCAATACGGAGTCTCAAGTATCTTTTCTTTCGTTAAATAATTGTTTCCGTGTGTTTACAGACGGATCGAGGATGACGAAAGCGATTGGTAGGGGCATCTTCATTGAGGAATTTGGCAATAAAATCTCTTTTCGACTTAATGATCTTTCAAGTTGAAGTAACACATAAAAAAAGGGTGTCGACTTGGCTAAGTTACCATCGGATATCTAACAGAGTTAACAAAATTTATAGCGATAGTAAACAGACGTTTCTCAATCAGATGACGATACATTCGAACATTATGGGTCAGAGGACACAGGAGTACGTATGTCAATAATATTGCTGACACATTGCTAAGAGCTGGAACCACGTTAAACGAACTGAAAATAGATCAGCTCTGTAATGTTCCACAACTTGCAATAAAAAGACTGATTATTCATAATTGCTATTCCACTGCTCAAGATCGATGGTCATTTGAGCACACTTGCTCGATAGCTAAAGCACTGTTGTCTCATATGGACCCACGCAGGTCTAACTATCTCCTAGGGGTTAATATACTAAAACTAGGCAAACTGGTGTAGATCGTTACTGGCACTTCAAATTTGGTAACCATGCTAGACGCTTCCGTTTAACGGCGTCTGTAGGAGTTGTCAATATGAGGATGAAGATGAGACTTCACTATTCTTCTCTGTAAATGTCCTGCATTGACAGCTGCTAGAATTCGAACGCTTGGGTCCGCCCAACTTTGGCAATTTATCCGAGATAACGAATATTCAATGTTTTATAGTATTTCTAAATTCGACAGAATGGGTCCGAACTTCAAATTCTCACTAAGTAGAAAGACATTTTTATAACAGGTCCTTATTATATGACCATTGTGTCTGTTTCCTCTCTAGTCGGTTTTCCTCACTCTTCTTGTCCTTCACTTTTCTCTCTTCTTAGAGGTATTTTCACAAAGGAATAAGCTTTGGACCCAAGAAAAGCTTCATTTGGCTAACTGGGACAACCTTAAATTGGGTAGTGTACTTTGATGGAGAAACTGTTGGAGGAATATAAATTAATTTTAATTTTTGCAGTAGATCAAAGGGGCTCCACCAGTTAGTTTTAAATAAGATTTCAATTCTTCTGAAGAAAAATATTTCAGTCGAAATTTAGCTCATGATGTAACATTTCACTCTTAGCTCCTTTTCGTTTATATAAGGAAAATAAAATCAACCAGTTAGTGACCTTTTCCATTATTGATTTTATTCTTAGTTTTGTTTTCATTTACTTTCTAAAAGAAAATGCATAATCATGCAAAAAAACCAAAAAAGCTTCAACGTTTGCCAATAACAGAGAAATAACAAAAGAAAATTTCTAAAAAATATCAAAAAACCTAAATTAAGAACAATATTTCAAAGCGATTTCCAAAAAAAGTAATTTTTACAAAAACCCACAAACCATATTTTAATTTGGCCGTTTTACTAAAAAAAGTTCTTTGTCGTCTGGCTTTAAAACAAATAAACCAAATGCACAAGAAAAAAGAGCTACAAAAATATTGCAATACAACTCTTTCTTTAGTTTTTTTTTTGCTATTCCTAGAGTATAAAAACCAACTTTAGTCAAGTTTATTTTTTTAGTTTTGTTTGTTTTTTTCTTTTTTTCTCCTCGTTTCATTTCCTTTTTCCTTATGCGATGCCATGATGTTTGATGGTGATGACGATAATATTGGGTTTGGTGGTGTTGATGATGATTTTCATGTTGTTCATGCTGCGCCGCCATTGCATGTTGCTGTTGTGTATTGTATTGTATTATTGTGAAACACGAATGTATTTAGTGGCTTTCCTTCCCTTAAAGTTAAAACTTTAGTGAACAACATGAAATTTCGTGCTCTGATGCAAGATCCTGAATATATGAAAGAATTTCAAAATATTATTTTAACACTGTCCAAATTAACTAAAGAATGTGTCATTGATATAACAACAGATAAAATGTATTTTATAGCCAATGAAGAATCTGGCACTACAGCACCTTTGGTATGGGTGGAAATAGAAGCTGGCTTGTATTTTCCCGAATATGAATTAAAACTGCAAGACGAAAGACATGCTCATATTATGTTGGCCATCTCACCAGCAAATTTAAGTCGTGCCCTAACACATTTACGTTCGAATGCTCGTACTTGTAAAATGAATTTAATCAATATACAATTCTCCTGTTTACGTATAGAAATTGAAGTACCTTCACAAACCTCCAATAATACCACCAAAACAGTGCATGATGTGCCGGTTAGTATTATACCACGCTCGGATTGGAGTTTCTATGAAGTACCACAAAAACCCAAATCGAAATTAATATTAAATGTACCCTCGAATCGTTTGATGCGTGGCCTCATCGACAAAGTTAAAAATCTCTCACCAACTATTATCTTTTATGCCACTTCCAATGGTGAAATGAATTTGGTAGCTGAAACTGAAATGGCTACAATTACCACTCATTATAAACAATTGGAAATCAAGGAAATCGATTCATCTGCCTCATCAGGCTCCAATCAACAAGTTGAAGCTTCCTGTTCGGTGGATTGTAAGAAGGCTTCTCTTTTCTTTTCTGCACTACAAGTGCCCACTTTAGAACTATCATGTGGCATCGATGATGATCGTCTCATACATATGGAAGTGGATGTACGACAGGGCATTGCTATACATTCCATTTTGCCAGCCGTTTGTATTTAAGTTTTCTACACTCTTTCTCTTCATCTGACATTCAATTGGCATTTCCTATCAGCTATGTATACTTTTATGGCTTTTTCATTCTCTGTCTGTATGTGGACATTTATTTGTTTACTATTTTTTTTATATACATACATATTTATCAATATCAATAAAGTGTAAAATATATTTAATATTTACCTAAATTGTTTATTTTACTTTTTTTGTGTAGTATTGGTTCGTTTTGCAATAGTTTTTTTCTCACTTTTTATAAGTGTCTACGTACTAAGTCTA